TGTGTTTTCTGCCTGGTGGTAATATGTATGCACTGTTTTGCTTGAGTCTTTGTGCTATGATGTATGGCAGTCCTTCTCTGTGGTGATCCTATGTATGCTTATCCTTCGTTTCTTGTCTGTGGTGATCCTATGTATGCTTATCCTTCGTTTATGTGTAGGGGTCTGTAAGTTAAAAGGGATATGGCAGTCCAGGTGTCTTTGGAGGCACCTCCCTCTACCCATGGGACCCCATGAATCTTCCATGTACTGTCTTTAAATGCTATTAATGAAATTCTTATGATTGGCTGAGCAAAAAAAAAAAAAAAAAAAAGCCCTAGTTCCGAAGAAGTTGATGACAACTTTTTTTATGCTGTGAATTGATTCTGCAATAAGTTTTCCTGATTCTCTATCTGATTTTCATGTTTGGTATCTGGCAAAGTGTCTCTCTTTATAACAATCAGAATTCCTAAACACACTACATTTTACTCATTCGTTCTTTTCCTCCCTATACTTGACTTAAAAGGATGCTTAATCACAAAACCAAATCCTAGCATCTCTGAGTAAAGGATTTCTAAGCTGATCGTTAGTTATATGATCTGCTGATGAAATGCATGGATTTTTTAACTGCATATTACTAAACTTCGTCATTGATCGAGGATCATTGATTAAGGATTCGAAGGATACGAGCAGCTCAACTTTGTCGTCACCCTGAGACAGGCTAAACTGTAGTAACAAAAATAAGGTGAACATGAACAATAACATTGGGCTAGATTTAGCTAAGGTCGAAATTGCTTGGTGTGACCTCATTGGGTTAGCTGAGGAAACGAAGCATCCTAGTGGACTATTATTCAACATTTATAGCTTTTTGTCTGACATTTAAGAAATTCTTGGCTTTGACAGGGCCTACCTTTGAAGACTTTTGGAGTTTCTTCACGTTGGTTTTACCAAGTCCAAATTAATTATTGCTTAAAGCACATCTTAGCTATCCTAGAATAGATTAATTCCTTTTTGCAATAAGTTTTGTCAGAGCTTAATTTCCTTTTTTGGCAAAGTTTAAGGATGTACTCTCTCAGGTCGACTCAATGCATTGAGAATAAATGAAATTTTGAATGATAAGAACGTACTGGTATAAAGAGTACTTGAAAATGAAATTAACCACCCAAATTACTAAATATGGATCACAATTAATTAATGGTCACACACGTTTTGTGTCTTTTTGTTTGATTGTCAATTTTTTTTTTCCAAAGTTAATTCATGCATTTAATACTTTGATTATATATAGACTATATATGTAGGGAAAGGATCCTTTCTACTACCTCGTCTTGCAATGATTAATGCACATTCAATTAAATCTAAGGCCAATATTTGTTCAAAGCATTATCTCTTTTAATTAATTTTCATTTAAATACTGATCTTGTCTTAATTGCTAAATCATAGTGCTGATATAAGGATCTCAGATTCTTTGTCTCTAGGAATTTCTAATGTTCTAACATTTAATACTTTGATAATCTTAAGTTTTTTAACACACGAGGCAATGGCAGCTGGTTTTTCCACAGAACAGAATGAGATTCTTTTGTACAGATTGATCAAAAACAAACTGAAGCAGAAGTCATGCATTAAGCAAAAGCAGCAACTACACTTTATTGTCATGTATTTGCTGATGAAACACATGGCTATTTTATGATGGTAATTACTCAATAGCAAAATACAAAGATATGTCCATGAAAACGACTAGAACTGAACACAAAAAAACACATGTTGCAATAACATCCAGAGTCGTCTGCAATGACTAGTTCCGTGAGCATCTTCTTCCCTTTTGATGATATTTGACTCCATACAATGTCACAAACCATTTTGGTTCACCATTTTTGAATGTAACATATCCGACTATGACTCCAAATATCTGTCCACAACCATAGCCTATCAGCACAACCTTCCGACCGAAACTGATCTCGGTCTCTGAGTCATCTGCCCCTTTCAAGAATAACGGAGATTGTTTTGTCCCATCATTGTTGCCAGCTTTCGACAGTGGAAAGCCGCATAGTGCCAAGTTTGAGAGGTCAATGCTTGTGAACGTTTTCTAGATTTCAAGAAATTCAATGCAAAATCCTTTGACTGTCAGGTTGACATGATAATTATAGTATCTCCTTTGCTTATATTGCAAAGAGCTTTGCTGCTCACTGAGATTCATCATGGCTTTCATGTTCTTTATAATACCTTTGGGCAAAGGACCAGTGAATTCATTGTTAGCAAGGTCAAGAATCCATAACTTGGGAAAAGGATGGATGGTCTTGGAACTTTGTAAGACACCTTGCAATTTGTTTGACCGTAAAACAAGAACTTGTAATTCAGGCTGAGTATCCAGCCAATAAGGGAATGTACCATTTATCTTGTTCTCACCAAAATCCATCATTTCCAAGTTTCTACAATTGGCCAAGGATCGTGGTACCCTTCCAATTTATTTCCATTGAAGTTGAGATTCCTCAAGCCACAATCCTCTCGAAAAGTTTCAAGGATAGTTCCATGGAAAGTGTTCCTCTGTAAATCTAAGATTGCAAGACAGTTGTTAGTGTTTCCCAGACATGGTGGAATGATTCCACTTAAGTAGTTATGAGCTAAGTTTAGAACTTCGATGGAACTTAAATTGCAGATCAAAGAAGGAATTTCTCCAGTCAGGCTGTTTAATGAAAGACGAACGAGTTGGAGACAAGGCAAAAATGCTAGAGCATTTGGAATTTTACCAGTAAAGTTGTTAGGGGAAAGATGAAGAATCTCCAAACTCTACAATGAGTTCTGGAATCTCACCTGATAAATGATTAACTAAGATCAAGTTCAACAAGTTTTTTGAGGCCAAAAATGGATCGAGGAAGCAAACCTGTAAACTTGTTTCCGAAGAGGAAGAGGTATTGAAGACTGGTGAGGTTTCCAAGTGAGGATGGAATTCGTCAGCTGAGATTGTTATAGACAAGATTGAGATGATTCAAAGAAACTAAATTAACAAGTTCTTGTGGAATTTCGCCACAAAGATTCTTATGCCCAAAGTAAATCCACTTCAGGCTCTTCATTTTGCTTAACCCATGTGGAATTTGGCCAATCAATTCGTCATAAGCAAGAGTTAAGATTTGCAAACTGCTGATATTTGTTATGGACCTTGCAATTCTCCCCACCAAATTATTGCCTCCAAGATTAAGTTCTCTTAGATTTGAGCATACTCCAATTTGTTGTGGAATATTTCCTGAAAACTGGTTGTTTTGAAGATCCAATATTTCTAGTGAAATTGAATATTTTGAAACTGTACCAGTTAAATGGTTGTTACTAAGATTGAGATATCGAAGTGACATAGAAGAAACTAAATTATTGAGAATGTTATCAAAAAGTTGGTTGTTCGAAAGATTGATAGTCTCAATCTCTATAAAATAAAAGATTGAAGATGAAATTATCTCAGAAATATTTTCTTAACAAGATCAATTACCTTTACCCTAGAAAATTTGTTGCAAGTGATTCCATGCCACACGCACAATGGGGTCGAGGAGTTCCAGTTGGAGAGGAAGCCAAACGGATCATTGATTGAAGACTTGAAGGATAATAGCAACTTGATTTCGTCACCCTGAGACAAGCTAACATTTAGTACCAATAAAAACATGAACATGAACAACAACGAGTGTGCTTTAGCTCTTTTGTTTAACATTTTACAAGAAGATCTTTTAGCAGGGGAAGGATGCCTTAAACTTGGAGACTAATAAATAATTAATCCAAGACCAATAAATAATCTTGGCCTCAAAGTTGAGGATACCAAACTGCTCAAAAGACTAAATCAAACTAACTTTGAAATGAAGAGGATCGATCAAGTGTACATGAATCTGATATGCATCCTAGCTCTTAGAACAAAGAGTTTTAGGAACTATTGCGGCGATGAAATTAGGGCGGGGAAGGCTGGTTTTGAGTGTGTCGAGATGGTGGTGGAGACTCTTGAACGTTTTATGGGGAAAAGATTAAGAAACTCATGATAACACGTGAAAAACTGGAGAGATAATGGTGGTGGAGACTCTCCCACTTAGATTGCTATGATCTTATTTTAACCCACATTAAACTCACATCTCTGTCATCTCATAAAAAGTAGAAGATTTAAGAAATGTACAAAGGACAGAAGTAGGTAAAAGTAGGGGATTTGGCACTTGCCGAGTGCAAATGGAGTCGTGTTTGGTGTAACGCAAGCACTTAGTGGAAAAGGATTTGCCAGCACTTAGTGGGGATTTAAGTATTTATAACTTGACTAGCTTTTGTGTTTTATTTTATTCTCAATTGCCTCAGGTCCATTTTTGTTCATAGTCCACGTTCTAATGGCTATATATCACAGCATTTGCCAGAAATTTCAAAAGGTGGATGATTATTTGCACTTAAAACTTAGCACCGAAGAAGTTGATAACAGATTTAGTTTACAAATTCCTTCTTTTGCTCCCTATATCTATAATGTATTAACCATCAGGATGCTTAATCGTAGAAAAAAATCCCAGCAGACAATGGATGAATGATAATACTGATCTCGTCTTGAGTGCTGAATCATATTACTGATTCTTTCTCGCTGAGGTTCTCAGATTCTTGCTTTAAAAAAAAAAAAAAAGTTCCCGGATTCTTTGTTTTCAGGATTTTCTATAGTTGGGAGCAGGGGTATGCATGTGCTATTATTCCACAGTACTATTGTAATATGCCTTCCTTAATATGCAAACAGTTTTCTAAATAAATTCCTGGATTAATCAATACATTCAAAATTAGCAAATTGCAAGAGAAGTCAAGCATTAAGCAAAAGCAGAAACCACACTTCACTGCCATGTATTTGCTGATGAAACGCATGGCTAATTTTTTACAGCAATTATTAATACTTATAGCAAAACACAAAGATCTGTCCATGAATTCTAGACCATGGACAGAAAACAACTAGAACTGAGCTCAGAGAAACACATATTACAATAAACTTCCAAAGTCATCTACATTGACTAGTTCCATGAGCATCTTCTTCCCTTTCAATGATATTTCACTCGATACAATGCCACAAACCATTTTGGTTCACCATTCCTGAACGTAAGATATCCAACGACGGCTCCAAATATCAGTCCACATCCATAGCCCATCAACACAATTTTCCAGCCAAAACTGATTTTGGACTCTGAGTCATCTGCCTCTTTCAAGAATGATGGAGATGGTTGTTTTCTGCCATCATTGTTGCAAGCCTTTGACAATGGAAAGCCGCATAGTGCCAAGTTTCCTTCATATGAGCCATTTTCAAGAGTAGAGAACTGTTTGCCTTGAGGAATTGGTCCAGTGAGTCGGTTATGTGAAACATTCAAGAAGGCAAGAAACGTCATATCTGTCAATTCGTTAGGAATTTGCCCAGTGAGCTTGTTTGAGGAGAGGTCTAGCCATTCCAAACTGGTCAAATTACCCAGTGATGTAGGGATTTGACCACTAAGGCTGTTATGAGAAAGATCGAGACCTCTAAGTGAACTGAGCTTTCCAATAAGACTTGGAATCTCCCCATAAAAGTTATTATTTGACAGGTCCATGCTTGTCAACGTTTTTGAGATTTCAGGAAATTCACTGTAAAATCCTTTCACTGTCAAGTTGACATGATAATAATAGTATCTCCCATGCATATATTGTAAAGAACTTTGCTGTTCACTGAGATTCATCATGGCCTTCATGCTCTTTATTATACCTTTGGGCAAAGGACCAGTGAAGTCATTGTTAGCAAGGTCAAGAATCCGTAACTTGGGAAAGGGATGGATGATCTTGGAACTTCGTAAGACACCATGTAATTTGTTTGACCGTAAAACAAGAACTTGTAATTCTGGTAGAGTATCCAGCCAATAAGGAAATGTACCATTCATCTTGTTGTCACCAATATCCATCATTTCCAAGTTTCTACAATTGGCCAAGGATCGTGGTAAAGACCCTTCCAATTTATTTCCATTGAAGTTGATATTCCGCAACCCACAGTCCTCACGAAAAGTTTCAAGGATGGTTCCATGAAAACTATTCCTCTGTAAATCTAAGATCGAAAGACTGATGCTAAAGTTTCCCAGACATGGTGTGATGGTTCCACTTAAGTTGTTATCAGCTAAGTTTAGAACTTCGATGGAACTTATATTACAGATCACAGAAGGAATTTCTCCAGTCAAGCTGTTTAGTGAAAGCCGAACAAGTTGAAGACGAGGCAAAAATGCTAGAGCATTTGGAATTTTACCAATAAAGTTGTTGGAGGAAAGATGAAGAATCTCCAAACTCTTCAACTCAATTATGAGTTCTGGAATCTCACCCGATAAATGATTATAACTAAGATCAAGTTCAACAAGCTTTTTGAGGCCAAAAATGGATCGAGGAAGCAAACCTGTAAGCTTGTTTTCATAGAGGAAGAGGTATTGAAGATTGGTGAGGTTTCCAAGTGAGGATGGAATTTGTCCACTGAGATTGTTGTCGACAAGATCAAGATGATTCAAAGAAACTAAATTAAAAAGTTCTCTTGGAATTTCACCAGAAAGGTTGTTATGCCCAAAGAAAATCCACTTCAAGCTCTTCATTTTGCTTAATGCATGTGGAATTTGGCCAATCAATTTGTTACAAGCAAGAGTTAAGATTTCCAAACTGCTGATATTTGATATGGAGCTTGGAATTCTCCCCACCAAGTTATTTGCACCAAGATGAAGTTCTTTTAGATTTGAGCATACTCCAATTTGAGGTGGAATTTTACCTGAAAACAAGTTATTTCCGAGATCCAAAATTTCTAGTGATATTGAACAATTTGGAACTCCACCAGTCAAATAATTGTTACTAAGATTAAGATGTCGAAGTAACACAGGAGAAACTAAGTCATTAGGAATTTTTCCAGAGAATTGATTAGTTGAAAGATTGATAATTTCAATATCTGACAAATGAAAGATTGAAGGTGAAATTATCCCAGAAATATTTTTTTCAGTAAGTTCAATTACCTTTACCCTAGAAAAATCGTTGCAACTGATTCCATGCCATAGGCACAATGGGGTAGAGAAATTCCAGTTGGACAGGAACCTAGAGGGATCATTGACTGATGATTTGAAGGATAAGAGCAGCTCGAGTTCATCACCCTGAGACAAGCTAAACTTTAGTATTAGTAAAAACATGAACATGAACAACAACGAGTGTGCTTTCGCTCTTTTATTTAACATTTTATAAGAAGATTTTTTAACAGGTAAAGGACGCATTGAGCTTGCAGAGTAAATACTATTAATCCAAGACCAAAAATCTTGGCCTCAGAGCTCAGGATACCAAACTGCTAGAAAGACTAAACCAACAAGCTTTGAAATGAAGAGGATCAAGTGTGCATGAATCTGAACATGGATTTAAATTAGAGCAAAGAGTTTTTTGAACTATTGAGGTGATGAAATTAGGGTGGGAAGAGGCAAATGTTGAGTGTATAGAGATGGTGGTGGAGACTCTTGAACGTTTGTTTTATAGGGAAGAGATTACATTGAGAAACCCATGATAACGCGTGAAAAACGAATTGCATGTTTTTGATACAAAATGAATAAAAGATAAACAGCAAAATTTTAAACTAAATGAAACTTAATTGCTTCACTTGCATCTTAATAAAAACGAAATTGAATTTTCTGGGTCAACATTATATACCTTTGATCAAAACGAAATTCAATGTTTGGTATTAATCGATAATTATTAACTTGGAGAAGTTTCCAGTTAGTTTCCAACACCTGATGAAGGATATATAAATATATAATTTAAAGTAATGAATTGAAACAGATTTTGATATACTGCAGAGTCGCCCATAAGTGGGGTGATCGAGTTTGGGGCATTGCAGGTTGCACTTATATAGCCTTTTTGACCCTGATTCAATACGTTAAGTCTTCTTACTTGCTCTTAGGTTGCTATAATCTTTTTTTATCCCACATAATTAATCTCACATCTCTGTCTTCTCATAAAAAAATAGAAGATTTAAGAAATGTACAAGGACAGACGAGGGTCCTGCAAAGGCAAATGGAGTCTTATTTAGTGGAAAAGGATAATGGATGATTTAAGTATTCATAAACATGATAACAGGATTTACTGACTTGCTTTTTGTGTTTTAATTAATTCTAAATTGCCTCAGGTTTTGTTCATATTCCACTTTCTAATGTTTTTATATCACAGCATTTGCCAGAAATTTCAAAAGGTGGATGAGAAAATTATTTTTTTATCCCAACATGGGAAAGACCATAGATTATGCTGGTGAATTCATTTTGCCAAAAGTTTTCCTGCAAATTCTGTCTAATTTTCCCTTTTGGGTATCTGCAGGCAAATTGTCTCTCTATACTTGACTGTAAAAACGCTTTATCATAGAAAAAAATCCTAGCAGATCTGTGGATGAATGATGATTCTGATCTTCGTCTAAATTTCTATATCATAGTATTGATTCTTTCTAGATAAGGATCTCAAATTCTTTCTCTTTAGGATTTTCTATAGTTCGGAGTTCGAGCATGCGTGTTATCATTCCACAGTACTATTATAATTTGACTTCCTTACTATGTATAGAGTTTTCTAAATAAATTCCTGGAGTAATCAATGCATTCAAAAGCAAATTGCAAGAGAAGTCATGCATTAAGCAAAAGCAGCAACCACACTTCACTGCCATGTATTTGCTGATGAAACACATGGCTATTTTATGATAGCAATTACTAATGCTTATAGCGAAATGCACATACTTTTAGCGAAACACAAAGACATGTCCATAAAAAACAACTAGAACTGAATAAAGAGAAACGCATGTTGCAATAACTTCTGAAGTCATCTGCATTGACTAGTTTCGTGAGCATCTTCTTCCCTTTCGATGATTCTTGACTCGATACAATGTCACAAACCATTTTGGTTCACCATTTTTGAATGTAACATATCCAACAACAACTCCAAATATTAGTCCACATCCATAGCCTATCAGCACAACTTTCCAGCCGAAACTGATCTTGGTCTCTGAGTCATCTGCCTCTTTCAAGAATGATGGAGATTGTTTTCTCCCATCATTGTTGCAAGCTTTCGACAATGGAAAGGCGCATAGTGCCAAGTTTCCTTTGTATGAGCCATTTTCAAATGTATTGAACTGTTTGCCTTGAGGAATTGGTCCTGTGAGTTGGTTATTCGAAAGATTTAAGAAGGCAAGAAATGCCATACCTATCAACTCGTTAGGAATTTGGCTAGTGAGCATGTTTGAAGAGAGGTCTAACCATTCCAGATTGGTCAAATTTCCCATTGATGTAGGTATATCACCACTAAGGTTGTTATGAGAAAGATTGAGCCCTCTAAGTGAACTCAGCTTTCCGATAACTCTTGGAATCTCTCCATGAAAATTATTATTTGAGAGGTCAATGCTTGCGAATGTTGTTGTGATTTCGAGAAGTTCAATGTAAAATCCTTTCACTGTCAAATTAAAATAATAAGGATAATACTGTCCACGCATATATTGAATAGAACTTTTTTGTTCTTTGAGACTAATCATGGCCTTCATGTTCTTTATTATGCCTTCGGGCAAAGGACCAGTGAATTCATTGTTAGCAAGGTCAAGAATCCGTAACTTGGGAAAGGGACGGACGGTCTTGGAACTGTGTAAGACACCACGCAATTTGTTTGACCGTAAACTAAGAACTTGTAATTCTGGCAGAGTATCCAACCAATAGGGGAATCTGCCATTTAACTTGTTGTTACCAATGTCCACCAATTCCAGGCTCCTACAATTGGCCAAGGATCGTGGTAGGGACCCTTCCAATTTATTGCCATGGAAGTTGAGGTTTCTCAACCCACAGTCCTGACCGAATGTTTCAAGGATGGGTCCATGAACACTGTTCTTCCACAAATCTAAGACTGAAAGACGGTTGCTAAAGTTTCCTAGACATGGTGGAATTATTCCTCTTAAGTTGTTATCAGATAAGATAAGAACTGCGACGAAACTAATATTGCAGATCAAAGAAGGAATTTCTCCAGTCAAGCTGTTTGATGCAAGACTAACCACATGAAGACGAGGCAAAGATGCTAGAGCATTTGGAATTTTCCCAATAAAATTGTTGAAGAAAAGATAAAGAATCTCCAAGCTCTGTAACTTAATTATGAGTTCTGGAATCTCACCAAATAAATAATTATCACCAAGATCAAGTTCAATAAGCTTTTTGAGACCAAAAATGGATCGAGGAAGCCAACCTATAAGCTTGTTACTGAAGAGCAAGAGTTGTTGAAGATTGGTGAGATTTCCAAGTGAAGATGGAATTTGTCCGCTAAGATTGTTGTAGGCAAGATCAAGAAAACTCAAAGAAACTAAACCAACAAGTTCTTGTGGAATTTCACCGGAAAAGTTGTTATAGCCAAAGGATATCCACTTCAAGCTCTTCATTTTGGTTAATGCACGTGGAATTTGGCCAACCAATTCGTTACAAGCAAGAGTCAAGATTTGCAACCTGCTGATATTTGATATCGAGCTCGGAATTCTCCCCACCAAATTATTGCCACCAAGATCAAGTTCTTGCAGATTCGAGCATGCTCCAATTTGTGGTGGAATTTTTCCAGAAAGCAGGTTACCCCATAGATCCAATATTTTCAATGAAATTGAACATTTTGGAACTTCACCAGTCAAATGATTGTTACTAAGATTAAGATATCGAAGTGACACAGAAAATGCCAAGTCGTTGGGAATTTCACCTGAGAGTTGGTTGTTCGAAAGATTGATAGTCTCAATCTCTACCAAATGAAAGATTGAAGATGAAATTATCCCAGAAATATTTTCTCAACGAGATCAATCACCTTCACCCTAGAAAAATTATTGCAAGTGATTCCATGCCACATGCACAATGGGGTAGAGGAATTCCAGTTGGAGAGGAAGCCAGACGGATCATTGATTGAGGATTTGAAGGATAAGAGGAGCTCGAGATCATCAACCTGAGACAAGCTAAAATTTAGTATAAATAAAAACATGAACATGAATAACAATGAGTGTGCTTTAGCTCTTTTATTTGACATTTTACAAGAAGATCTTTTAACAGGAAAAGGGTGCCTTGAGCTTGGGGACTAAAAATCTTGGCCTCAAAGCTCAGGATGCAAACTGCTCAAAAGACTAAACCAAATAACTTTGAAATGAAGACGATCTAGTGTGCATGAATCTGATATGCATCTTAGCTCTTAGAGGAACATGGATTTATACCAGAACAAAGAGCTTGGGGCTGAGGTCGAAATTGGTTGGTGTGAACTCATCGGGGCTAGCTGAGAAAATGAAAGGCTTCGTAATGGAATATAATTCAATCCATTTTTTCTTCACCATTTATGGCTTCTGTTGACATTTAAGAAATTTTTCTTGGCATTGGCAGGGACTACTTTTGAAGACTTTTGAGTTTTTTCACATTTAATAATAATAATAATAATATTGATTTTGCTCAAGCACATCTTACCTTTCGTAGAATAAAAATTTTTTTATATGATATATAAAAAATCTTTTAAACTATTCGAGAAAATTTAAATAAAGAGTTATTCTTTTATTGATGATGACGTGGTATATCAATATAACATGATGACAATAATAAAAGAATAAAGATTTATTAAAATTTTTTAAAATAATTTAAGCGTTTTTTAAGATAGTATGTTAAAGATTTTTATTTTCGGAGTCTAATTCCCTTCTCAAAAGATTTCAAGGATGCGTTATTCCACATTGACCAAATACATTTATTCAGGAGAAAAAAATGAAAATTTTGAATGGTAGCAATGGACCGGTACAAAAGATACTTGAAAATTGAAATTAACGACATCAACAACCACCAAAACTACTAAATATGGTCCGCAATTGACTAAAGGTCACAAATCTTTCTCTATCTTTTTTATTGAATTGTCATTTTTTCCAAAATCAATTCTTTCAGTTCATACTTTGATCATATATAGACAATATATATAGGGAAAGGATCCTCTATGCTACTTCATCTTAGGACGATGAATGCACATTCACATAAATCTAAGGCCAAAACTTGTTCAACTTATTATCTGTTTTTAATTAATTTTCATTTAGATATTGATCCTAATTGCTAAATCATAGGACTGATATAAGGATCCCAGATTCTTTGTCTCTAGGAATTTCTATAGTTCGGAGACAAAATGGTGAGCTGGAGCATGCATGTGTTATCATTCCATGGTTTTAATATAACTTGACTTCCTTACTATGTATGCTGTTTTCTAAATAAATCCCTGGATTAATCAATACGTGCAATAATACTCTCTGTCTCTCTCTCTCCAACTCCATGTGATTTGCTGACTTTTTTAGCAGTTACCATGTGTTTTTTAAGCCACGAAGGCAGTCTTCATTTCTTTTATATGGTAACTCAGCCGACAGTTCCAAGTTCGTCAGGCATCCTTCCAATCATACATCTCTCGTACAATAATGGACTGACGGTGATATTGGAGAGAGGTTTCAGAGTCCATGGGACGTGGTTGCTGCTTGCATTAGAGAGCAAATACAACTCCCCAGATATTTTTTTCAGGAGCTGAGGAACAATCTTGCAAAGTTCCTGAACAATTGCAAATACCCAATACATTTGGTTTTGGAATATATTTTAAAGTTCTGATGTTCCTTGCATTACAATTATGCAGAATGGGTAACTCTTGCATTTTGGTTTCTGATTTTTATTATTCTGTTACTATAATAAAGTAATTATCTTCATCTGAAAAAAAAAATTTGATGCCCCTGCTTCATCCGAAATTCAATCAATGCTTGAATTTTACCACTACAACAAGGTCCCAAGTCTCCTCTCATCAAATTAACTAGGAGAAGGAAGAATATATATGTAACACTCAGAGGAGAGAGATTAATTGTATGGTATCAAATAGTTCTAAAACTTTAAATACATGGTACAAGCTAATCTACTAGACTAATTAGCAAGATCAACATAATTGCGATATGCTGAAGAACTACGAATGAGGAAACAACAAGGAGTTTTGGTGGAGGCCAAAGGAGTTACAACTGCTAAAACTTCATTGGTCGTATGGCATTGGAGTCTTTTGTTTCACATTTTTTTTTTACGAAACATGGTATTTCTTGAAACGTCAAAGCATGAATGCCATTAAAAGTCTTAAACCGATTTGGTAAAAAGCTCCTCTTGGCATAAAACAGATTTGGAGAAGGAAAGTGAGTCTTTTGTTTCACATAATAGTACAAGGACCTGGAGGGGGCTCAGAAACCACTGTAAAATATTCAAACTGGGGCTGGGGTTGTGGACAGTGTATGATTGGAGTGGGTGATTTGGGTGGTTCTTCATTTTTCTCCTTCACTTCTTCTACTATTTCTAAGCTTGCATGACAAAGCTTCTTCCTCAAGGAGCTGGTCAAACATGCTGCATCAACCCCATCTCCCTCTATCATCAGTTTATCCTTTTCGGGTCCATGTAAAGCCACAGATGTCACTCCTGTTCCATAACAAAAAATTTCAAAAACGTATCAGTATCTATTATTCATCTCTCTCTGTTTGTTTATTAGGTTGAAATTCACAATCATATCAACTAGATTTTGGAAGCTACACACCATCTGCCACAGAAGCTATCTTCATGGCCTTGGTCCTGCATTTGCTGCAATGCATTGACACCTTAATAATTATCTTTTGCTGCACCATTGAAGCAAAAACATCACATCAGGTTTTACCACAGAACCACAATTGCTTTATGTCTGAATCAATGAATGTTGGAGAAGATAAAAAAAAAAAAAAGATAAATGCAGCCATTACAGCATATGAAGAACATTCTTTTTTTCCAAAAAAATATGTTGTGAGATTCCATGTTTGATTTTCATTGAAACAAGTGTACCAAGAAAAATAACTTGCTACAATGCAGCATACCTTCATATTCTCTAGCACCCCGAAAGGAATGTTGCTTTGTTCAAGAAGGGTATAACAGGTTTTCCAATATATAACTGACTGCAGAAGCAGCAGCCATGGTTCTTTATATAATTTTCATCGGATCCAATGTTGCATACTAATCTAAACCAGCACATGACTAATAACACTCTCTGCTTTCTTTTTCTTGATTCCCCTTTAATGAATGTTTAAGGATTAAGTTAGTGATCCACCTTTCATGGGTTCAACGGGAAGAACTGACCTATCAGACCAAGCCAAACAACAACCCACAGCTTAGCTTAATCTTCTCATTGGATTTCCGGTGTAAAAGTCAATTATTATTGTAATTGATCAGTTTTGTTTAACAGTGGAATTGAATATTTTAAAAGCTTACAGGTAAAACCATCAGTGTGAATAGCTTGACCAAATCAATAAACTAAACCCATTGCATGTTCAGACTAATACGTTAGGATTTGCATTTTCCTTGTCTCAACTGTTGTATGGCCTGCGATATATTAATAAATTTTTTTCTCATTAAAGAAAATTAGTAATATACAACATTGGGTTTTTGACGTAATCAACAATGTGTCATATGATGTCATTAAGTTAAAATTTCATAATAAATTGGTTGGATTAAGCATTAAATTAACGGAGCCAACACAGATTTAAATGTGAAAATGGAGAAACATGGAGACTAATTAATTAGCTATAACATGAGATTAAATTGGGCACTTTCAACTGGATTCATTGTACAAAGGGAAGATGCACATCGATCACAGTTCAATCTTTTGTGTAAACTATCTGTTAAACACTTAGGAAGTATAGAAATAATATCATTAAGTCAATAATTAAGTCTTATATTACTAGTAATTTGTAAGTGTTTAAGGTCTTGAAGAAGTTTGTGCATATTTACAACTTGATCATATTTCCACATTAAGGTTATATGGATTAATTAACATATAAAGAAAGATTCAAAATGATCTTGATACTCTATAAATGGTAAGGGTAATAATAATTTAGCACATATGATATTAATGTTTAGATTAGCTCCATATCAAGGCCATTATCGGGTTGTTGTGCTAATATAGCTACCCCAAGTGATAAAACCCCACTTGTTGCGGATGTTAATTTTATTGTAAGAGATAGACCTTATTCCTTTCATATTCCATCTAAGAGATGGTGCATGTCAATTTTTTTTTTTATGAAGCGAACGGTTAGAGATGATAGTAAATACTTAATTTTTGGATATCACAACAATTAATAGAGTTTAGATATAGGTATTTTGAATATAACGAATACCATACCTATTGCCACTCTTATGATCGGTTCAATCTGAATGGAGTCGAGACTAAAGTAATAATTAATTATTTTTAAAATTTGAAGGGTCGAGTTGGTGATCAAATCCATTGATTGCTATCGTGCAACTTTCCTTTCTGTTTCCTAGTGTTCTTTAATCCATTAAAGAGCAGTTAAGTCAACCGTTGGAAAAAAAATTATAAAAAAAGAATCAAGTCAACTACAAAGAATTGGAAGGAAACCTCATTAAGTCCAAAACCAGTTAGGAATTTCCACAATCACGTGTTTGGATTTAAGAGAAAGATCAACTACCCAGATACTATGGGAGTTGATGGAGGAGTCATCATGCACCATTTCATCACATTTCCAGACTTTGATGGTTTCATTTCAATGATAATTATGGAGTTAATATGGACCGTTTTCATACTAAATTAGGTTTTCTTTTGATAAAAAGATTTTTTTTTATAACATTACTTTTCATTTAATATTAATTGACTTTGATTCACAGTAGAATTTTAAATAAGAGAATTTGAATATGAAACTTTTGACGACATTTGAGTTGATAGTTATTAGAGATTATACAACTGAATCCTACTATAAGTCCAAGATTCTTATAATTGGTAGGGCTAAAGTAAACAAATTACCCTTTTTTACATGAAAGGAAATGATATTGATCCTAGAAAATAATCAGCAGGATTCAAATTTTCCTGCATTTGGCGTATGTGTTTTATAAGCATCATTTTCCATGTACCTAAACACCCAAATTCTCTGAATTCAATATATTCAGGAAAGGAACAGACCCACCTGCCTCCATGTCTTTGTCATTTAGTGCCTGACAGGACAAAAACCTCTCTTTGTTTCTTTTCTGAAACTCATTGTTATTCTATATCAACTCTGAAGCTTTTTGGTATGGTATGAAATGACTGCACTCAACCACCTCTTTGGGAAACAAATTTAAATCCCAATCATTTGCTTGAAATCCATCAGTTTGTTTAGTTCGTGACATGACTTAATAGTATGTCACGAGATTTCAAGTGTTATAACTATTTAGAAAAATGGGGTAGTTAGTCGTTGTGAGTTAATTTTTTGAACGATTTATATGATAGATTTGCTTTCGAAATAGGTTCATGAAATCATATTTGTGTAAGGATAGTGGCATATTTCTTGTCTTAATTTTCACAGTTCTTAATCCAATAAATTGGCATCATCTGGACAAGTACTTCTCTCCTCTTTCTTTACAATTTCCATGTGATGCAACTGACATTATTTGTACGTAGACAGTTAGACACAAGTAGTTACGTTAAGTTCCTTAAACTCTGGAGGCCATGCCATCATCAATGCAAGCTTACTTTTCCAAGTCAATCTGGCATCCTTCCCAATGTATGCATATACTTGCAGATGGTTCATACCGTAACAAACTTGTTCCTGTTATTACTCATTGATTTATAGTGATGAAATCATGAAAAATGGGAAGAAAAATCTCATCGTAATATGGACTGAATGCTACTGATATGGAAAATTTTAAACTTTTTGTTGTTTGGAGCCACAAGAGCTGATGATTCTGATGATAAAGATGATCTTAATCTTAATAAACATCGATCTGATTCTCAATTGTTTGTGGGTAAGGAAACTATGGTGAATACTTAATCTGAAACAAGTGAACATAGAAATCTGCAGGGGTCTCAGCATCCGACAGAATCAAACCTGTTGAGTTACTGCTGGGAAGAAACAATGAGAAGTTTGAAGTAAGGATGAAGGCATGAGACCTTAAGGTGATGATGCCATTTGGTGTCTGTCTGTTCTATCATTACAACATAGTGCAAGGGCCTGGATTGGGCTCAGTGACCACTGCGAAGTATTCTAGCTGAGGCTGTGGACAGCATACAATTGTAGTTGTGGGTAATTGTGGGCCTTTCTTCTCTCCATCTTTTTTTCCTGCACCTTTCTTCTCTTCCACGCTTTTGTCTTTCACTTCTTCCACCATCTCTAAGCTTGCATGGGAAAGCTTTTTTCTCAAGGACTCAGTCAAGCAGGCTGCATCAATCCCATCTCCAACTATCATCAGTTTATCTTTCTCTGGACCATGCAATCCCACTGATATCACACCTACATGCCATTAAGAAAACAATAAAAGAATTATTCCTTAGTGTCTTTTGTTGAAATTAATTGGTAGACTGCAAACATACCATCTGCTGCAGCAGCAATCTTCAGGGCCTTGGTCCGGCATTTGTCACAGTGCATTGATACCTTGATAACAATCTTTTGCTGCAGCATCAAATGAAATCATGTTTCACATCCAAACAGGCAAAGAAATACGATTTTGATCCACTTGACCCGATTCATATTCCAACAATTTGGATAATATAACAACCCAGATTCCAATTTCAATTGAAACAAGTGTAAGAAAGTAGCTAGAAATAAGCAGCTTACCTTCATAGTCTCAAGGAATGATTGCTTTCTCCAGAAATATAGAGTGATAAGGTTCATTTTATAATGTTATCATCCAAGGCCAAGAGCAATTAAACCAACAGTTCAGCACATGATTGAAACCAGTAATTCTCTTTCTGCTTTAATGAAGTTTACATTTAAAAGATGGTTCAACGCACAACTGCCCAGCAGACTTAAGCCAATTAAGAACCCTTCGGTGCTTTTTTCTCTGCTATTGCCATCAATTACATGTGTAACAAAATGAGTGATCAGCAGCTAAAAATGGAACAATTTGACAGTAAACAGAAATGTTCATATTTTTTTATATGAAATTTGATATGTGATTAGGCAATTTTTGTACAAGTTAAGTCATTTAGGTCTGGGACTACGGACAGTGAAGTTGCCTTCCAACAAGGACTCAAAATCAGGACATTTACAGGCTCTTTATCCAATTGCTGAAAGCTGTTGGCCCAACAAACTTATAGTCCTAGATTTCCTAGTTAGTCCAACATGGCAAACCGGTTATTTTATTTATTCCTAAAGCATTAGTTGTTCCTCCTCCTGATTTTGGGCAATTAATTTGTTAGCTTGCGGTAGTAATTCTCCACATTGAGATAATCAATAGCCTGCTTTAGTTGGAACAATCTGGCAAAACCTATGTTTTGATCACCATCTCCCAAGGTCCTTTTTTTTTTTAATATATTCTTAAACAATTTGAAACCCATGGTGTTGTGCATAGACCCTTTAGCATAAGCCATGATTTTGTTAACAGATGATTGACATGGATTATACTGTTTGCCAACACTATCACCACTGTTATTTGAGGTCTCAGGCAAGAAGAAAGATTCAAGGCAGTTGTACCACTCATTCCTCCACTTGAGTTATTTTGCTTGGCTAAAGGTAGATACTTTGCCAAAGTCCATGAGATATCTAGGATTGGGTAGGCTCCTTTTCAGCTTGTGTCCACTCTTCCAACAATTAAGTTCAAAGACAACAGTGTTCCAACAAGAAGAGCAACAAACGAATCCAATAACGACAGCTTTCTCCTTCCATGCCATTTCTATCCAACAACTTGATGACAAAACAGAATATGGAAAGCGAAAGAGAGAGAGAGAGAGAGTCCCCTCTTTTCTCCGTGAAAAGGGTTCCACAGAGAAAAAACATAAACCCCAAAGTCCAAAATATATTCCCTGTTCCAACTCTTGTCCTGCTTCGACATCCTCAGTCTCCACTCTCTTTATGCTCTCCACAAAAGTGAAAAGAGAATGTTGAAAGGTGAATAACATAAGATCCCACCAAATCCCCCACCAAAAAGGGGCACCCTCTTCTCCAAAGGCCAAAAGCTCTTGGCAACAAGCCAACAGAGCATCAACCATCCTTTTATTCTGCAAAAGAAACCATTCCAAATGCTACATTCCACTCCAATTTGGATTTTATTTCCGACCCTTTCCTCCCTATCATGTACTTTTACCTCAACACATTGCCACATAACTCTGCCTTCTTTGACTTTGTATCTCAGCTGCCGATTCCACCTTTTTCTTTTACATCATTGAGAATCAAATTAAAGGGCTTACATTGAAATATATTATTGATTTCAAAGCTTACCAATGGCCTATACATAGGAATATAATAACCTCAGACCACGTTATAGGCCATTCTTCCAAGTACCATAGACAGGTTCCAGTTCATTTTATGATGGGTAGGCAGAGTGACCCAGCTGTTCATTCATCCATTGCCCTCTTGCAAGAGAGGTTCAAACAGTTGCAGAGAGTGAAGGAAATGAGGCAGGAGAGAGAGGTCTTACGGTTGCTCTCGGAAGCAGAACGGATCAATCCAGCTACACCTCACGAGGCATCCCAATCATTTTTCCATTCTGAATTGATCCTTCAGACAAAAAGACCACTCCAAGTATCTCTCTACACTGAATCTAGCATGCACAGCACGCATACTCAGCCTCAGGTTATTGAGACTCCAGTTTTGTCAAATTTACGCCCAAGAGATACTGCAATTCATGCATCTACCTTTAACGATTCAGATGTTGACACTTCACTTCATCTCTGAAACAATTGTACAATGTTAGTCTATCTCATATTCTTGTTTCTTTCTTCTGTTTTTCTAGTCTTATACCTCTTCTTATGGAGCTGTAAGAAATTGGGAAGTGGAACAAGGGGGAGTTCAGGGGGGGTAAAGGGAGAACAAATATTGTAATATAACTACTGTTCAGTGGGACTCTCATTATCCTCTTTATAATCAGAAATTACATAGTAATCGGAGAGATCATCCTCTTGCCTCTTTTCAAGTGTATCTTCATCATGGTTACCATTATTCGAGTCTTCTTCACTGCTCCATTTCTTCTTCATTAATTTTGGAACCATTGGAGTTACTGCTGTGGCATCTAATAGTGCTTCCTCATTGTTTATCCGTTCAAACCGAACAGCACTCACTTTTCGAGCATTTCCTGCTAATATCTGCATCAAAGACAAGTTGCCCACATTAATGTGTTAGTCATATAGTTGATCAAGTTTTGACCTCATCCTATGTTTGTCAGATTGATGAAATATTTGCAGGAAGATCCATTAAAATTTGGAATCCTAAGAAGACTCAGACAGAAAAGCTGTCTTATGTAATTAACTTAAGTTAGCCTTTGAAAGGAAAATAAGAATGCAAGGAACTATGGCATTAGTAAAATACAGCCTTCAATTGGCTGTCATGTGCAGCAGCAGTAATTTGAAAAAGATATGCCACGGTGAGTGCTTAGCGGTGTTTCCTTCCTAGCGGTTTTAGTGAATTTCATCTGGTGCTTACTCCTCTATGTAACATATGTTTTATAACCATTTTCTCAACGGTGTAGCATTCTTTTCATTTTGATCAAGTATAACATTCAGTCCCATAATATTTCATAAGAATATCAACATTTGAGTGATTTCAATTGAAAATAAAGGAGATGGATCACTTCACTGTAGCTATTAAGGTAGAAGACCCTGATGTATAAGGATAATATCACAGCGACCAAAGTTCATTATAATTCCAATGACTAAATGTTTGACACTTCAAATGTTGAATACTTGGTTCAGAGATTCTAATTCATCCATAATCCAGATGTCATAAATTCTAAACTGCTTTCATTCAGTATGTGCCAAACTACACTCCTTAAGAAACATTTATAAATAGTGACATTATAAAGCACTCAAATTAATATTACATTATTCAACACCAACGTTATGCATAATAATTGCTTATGGCAAAAAGGTTAGAACCATACCTCAAGTTTATAAATTTGATGCCTGTCCTTCAAATCTTGACGATCAGATCCAGCTTCGGAATTCTTATCATCTTCTTCTTGATTTTCCTTTTCAAGGACTACCTTAATACTCTCACCCGTCCTCGGGATATATCCAAATGCCTCGCATACAAAACCTGACACTGTCTCATATTGATGTTCCTATAAAACAGCAAAAGGAAAAAAAATGTTGACAATACCTGTATAATTGACAAACAGACACTTTATATGTGGATCCAGTTCTTCATACTGTGAGGTGAGGTCCAATTGATAGTTCTCTCTAGTATTGATATTAACGGAGGACACTCTATTTTAACACCTGAGTGCATATTCATGAACATTTCAACTATACATGCAGAAACTTGCAAGTAGAACAAAAACTTATGTTAAGGGCTTATATCAATAACAATGAATAATACAAGTAACATACCTCTGGCATTTTGATATTTAGATCTTCAGAAAGTTGATCGATAGATGTGTTGGCATCAACATCAAAGATTCCCTCTGCTCGCATTACAATATAGCCGGTTTTCTTCTGGATTTCCTCCTGTTATAGCAGGAAAAAATAAAAATATTTAAGACCACAGAAACTTGAAAATAAAGTTCACAGCTATTAAGGTCCACACATCATTTGATAGCATAGTCATGACATAGTATTGCTTGATCCTCATTCGATCACCAAATCTTATGAAAGTGAAGGCATGCAATGCTAACATACTTATAATGATGATCAAAAACCCAGAAAATAGATAAGAGATTGAAGGGTAAACATAAGAACTAGCAAAATCTAAATAACTGGGAATAAAGTCTGTGGTGTAATGAAAAGCAGCATTTTGACTAAACCTAAATAATTAGGAATATGAAGTCTGAAGCAGAAGAACTGTCATTGATAAAGTCATCAAAGATGTAGTAAGCCTTACTTTTGAATCACTTTCGTCAAAAATTTCACCAACAATCTCCTCAACCACATCTTCTAAGGTAACTATCTGTTCCAACATTAAAAAAAATGAGATAAAAGAACATATAGCGGGTAATTGAAAATAGATCACCGGGGGGGGGGGGGGGGGGGGGGGGGGGTGGAGTGGGGAATATAAGTGCTATTAGTTGTTGTCTCTCGGGTTTGCTAAGACTTCACTCTCAAACTAATTTGTAACAAGAGATGAAGGGATTTTGGAATACTTGACAGCTCATTCAACTTTCAACTGCAGGCAAACTTTTCCGTGTTCAATCCCATATTAATGTTGTATGGCAAATCAGTTAAAGCTATGCCATACAAATCAATGATGCTGTTTTATGCAGGGATAGAAACATGCTATCAACTATGCTATGAGAGTCCTTCCACATAACACCTTAAATCCACGAAAATTGCATTTAAAAAATGAAAAATCCATCTCACTTTGAGGTTCTTTGACAGGTAAAAATCATTTAAGAATATAAATCTAAGTTCAATATCAATTCTGAATTACATAGAGCACGTACTTCCAACAGTTCCACCATATTCATTGAGAACAACAGCCATGTGAACCTTCCTGATGCGAAACTCTCTAAGAAGATTCCAGACTGACATTGAATCTACAATGAACATGTTAACAATGGTTATAAACTTGAGTAACAGGTACCATTTAGCCTAATGAATACTGAGATAGAAAGGTAAAATTCAGCCGCACAGTAACTCAAAGCATGAAATCAACCGAAGAAGATAAGTTTAAAACTTACCAGGCACAAAGTATGCGGGTTTGTGAGCCATATCTCCTACAGCAGTACTTTCTAGCAGCTCACCCTTCAAAATCAAATAGATTATAATTCTGCACACTATGATATTGTTGCATACATTAATAAGCAAAGTCTTACAGATGATAAGAAACAACAACAAGAGTAGAAAATGTCTGACCTTTGGAACATAATCTAGTAGATCCATAGCATATGCAATACCCACTATATTGTCAACACGCTGCTCAAAAACAGGCACCCTGCAAAAATGTCAACAAATTTCTTAGCATGTCAGTTTAAGGAAAAAAGAACCTAAGAGATGAATTACTAAGATTATCTACCTTGAATATTGATGAGTCAACCAAAGATTGTGGAATTCAACAAGAGTTGAGCTTGCATCAATTGCAACCACATCAACAAGAGGGGTCATCACCTCTCTAACATGAGTATCTTTTATCTCTAACACGTTTTCAATCATATCCTGCAAAGGATTCCAACAATAAGAGCAGCAGAACCATAAACAAAGAAAGAGGAAGTGATTCAATTGGATTTATGCCAATGGTAAAGTATAAACACGGACAACAGGGAGCAATCACAAGAGGATGCCTGGTCATTGGCATTGTACCAGATAGCTAAGCCTGAGCTATTGGGGGAGATAACATAATCATTGTGAGCTTTGGTTCAATAGAGAAGGGGTTTTAAGAATCTATTTTGGCATAAAACTACTGGTTTACCATATGCAATAGACTCGGCACTGATGAAGCCATGAAGGATCCACTGCTTCTCGAATCATTTCATCTTCATGCACCTCAATGAAGTCAATTTTTGTTTACGGATACCAGTTATTTCTCCTTAATGTCTTCTCTTTTATCCATCAAGAAAACATATCTGAAAACCCCTTAGTAGGTTCAGAGCATGCAGGTGGGCTACAAACAACATACACATGTACAAACACAAAATGGGGAAGAAACGAAGAAATTTTCAATTTGGGTGCATATGGAGACAAACTGCTCTAGGGCTATAGAACAGAAGGTAATAGAAAATTTATGCCGTGTATAAAATATTATGTGTTAATCAAATGCTCAATTGGTGTTATAACATATGAACTTATGACATATGTGATACATAAGGTTACCTGCTCCTCCTCCTCTATTGCTCCACTCAACTCTGCTCCTCGTAACATTAGCTTCAATTCATCTTCAGTAACATAAGGTTCACTAAAATAAAGACACAAGGCATTGAGGCATTCAAAAAGCATATAACAGAATGATGGCATATGTTGAAAATTTAACAAACCATTGGAAACAAACATAACTGAAAATGCATGATGACTTAGAAGCTGCATACAGATCAAATATAGGTGATTATTTTCTTCACCTTTTTCCTTTCAGACCAAGAATTTTGAGCATTCCCATTGAGAGATATGTGACAACTCTTCCTACTGGATACAGTATTACAGAAAGCCATGCCACTGGCCTGACCTAGAAACATTGCAACCACAATTAGTCAGCCAATTTGGAATTGGTAATGATAACTTTGGCAAAGTACCAAGAGAGCCATGAAGCATATAGCATGAAGCATATAGCATGAAACATGGGGAAAATAAAAAACTATGCAGTTTTAACACACATCTGGCTGACAGTGAAGTTTTAAGACCCAAATGATTGGGGAAGAAAAGAATAAACTTACCACAAATCTGGCAACTTCTGTGGGATTGTGAACAGCTATACTCTTTGGAGTGATCTCAGTGAGAAGCAATATAGCAACCTAGCACCATTCTAGAAAAGTTAACTGGTTTTCATATTTATTGCATGAAGTAGGTCTGTATTCATGTCCAGACCAACCACAAATTAACTGATTAATCATTTTACCAACTTAATATAAATTCATTATATGAGCAAGACAAAAATAAGTGCAGGCATGCTACACACACCCCCCAAAACAAATCAAAGAACAGGATATTGACACATACGGTCATTACTCCAGTTGCCGCACTAACACCAGCTTCCCCAAATATAGCCGTTGCGGCATCTGTGACTAGGGCAGTTGCTCCAATATTGACCACACTGAGAACAGAAATAGAATCTACAATAAGAAATACTTTCAAGCTGAAGCTTAAAAAAATGGAACTGGAAAATATCGAGGAATGAGGAGTACGTGGTGCCAATAAGAATGGTTGTGAGAAATCGAGTTACATCACTGCGAAGCATTTTGAAGACACCATCTTCAGGCTCTTTTTCAGCCAGCTCACGTACCTGACACAGGTTAACATCAAATGAAAAATGGATTTCAAAATTCCAAGAGGCTTGATGACATGACAAACTAGAAATAACTAGCACACAATGAAGAAGACTTGTGTCAGATATTTCTACTTCAACCTTCCCTAACTTAAAAGTTAAAGTGCAATCCAAACTTCAAAAGATTTGTGTTTTGCCTTTACCAAAATGCAATACTAAATAACTAGTGTAGAATTAGGGTTTAATGGTTGAAATAATACACACTTCATGATGTTGATATCTATCGCTTATCCTATAAGTTGCTTGTCTTTCTCTACTCTTTCTCTGTCTCTCTGTTTTCTCTCACTTTCTTCTCCCTCTTCACTCTAATGTGCTTCTACACTCTATCTTTTCTCTTCCATGATATTTCTCCTCTTGTGTGCACCACTAACAATTTGTTTCCATTTTATAAGTTACTATGATTGAGCTCACATCTATAAGAAATTATATGTTCAAATTCAATCCACCATAAGCTAATAATACAGCATTGAATTTATACTGAAAGTTAACATGGCGAATCAAAATTAAACTTGTATTAATTCAAGCCAATATATCAGGTCACCAAAGAAATCTGCACAACAATAAGGAAAAATAAAATATTCCAAATACTGTTATAAATTGACCAAAGCAACTACATTCTTTCCAATTTGCAACAATCTGTATACCTGCTTTCTGATTCCCATCATTGAGCGACCAAAAACATGCACTCAATAAGTATAAAAGCTATCCAGTCCTGGGTCAAAGAAATCAATACCTTCCAAGGCCATAATGTAGTTATAGCAGTCTCTGCCATTGAGAAGAAGGCAGACAGGCCCAGAAGCGCTGTCAAAACCACACCTTGCTCCTTGAATACTTTAAGAAGCATAGATAACTTAGGCCAAGCATTCCTCAACAACAATATGCACTGCCCAATCACCCCATAGCCAGCATTAACCACTCCCTCGACAGCAAACACTCGTTTACAACCAAAGACGAATACACTGCAAACCATTGCTACCAAAATTCCCCTTTTCACCAAAATCAGATTCTGATTATTTCCCACATCTCCATTGTCTTCACTTAACAATCCCAGACGTGCCTGACTTCCAACAATACCAGTTTTTCGAAATCCAAAAGCTTTGAAAACCTCGGGATTGGGAAAGCTGGAGATAATAGGAGCTGGGTAGTGATTAGTTTTGGATAAAAACTTTGATGGGTACTTCAAATTTCGATTGAAAAGCATGAAAGACGAGCACTTTCTTGAAGAAAAGAAAGTGGGTTGGCTAAGAATTGAGGATTCAAGCGCCATTCTCATCAATAAGAATAATTCAATAATCTACAAAAAAAAAAAGGAAAGAAAAAAAATTGAAACTTGTTTAAACAAAATATGAAAAAGGAGAAAGTTAAAAAGAAGGGAGTTTCAGGCTTTATTGGGATGAAAAGAATTCCCACGGAAGGGTGGTCTCTTCATTACTCCAAGAGGAGTGGTTTTGAAAGAAGTCTGGTTGGTGAAGGGAAGATTTTGCTTGCTGCAACTGGGAAGTAAGAGGAGCAGAAATGACAAAACTTGCCCCCATAAACTGTAATACCGTAACCCCAAAAAAGCATTACATTAGTATGTTTACTAAATCCAAATTTTGACAAATAGGTTTTATTGAAATTTCTTATAAAATATTTGAGTTTATAATAGCGTAGTTGTATATTAAGGATCTTTTAACAAATAGAGTAATCTTATTTTAAGCTTACATTATCACATTTTAAAAAAATCAATTATATATAAAGAAAAAGAGATAAGGTCAATTATTTTATCTATATAAGAAAGTTAAAGTCAGTTTTTATTAAAGAAAAAAATACAGAAAAGATAAAAAATCCATTTGGAAGAAACTAATTCTAGAGAAGAAGAAGAAGAAAACAGTTATTAAAGTATGATTAAGCTTTATCTTTAGTTTATATTTCTTTAAATTTTTTACAAATTTGGTACTGTTTCGGTGACTTTCCGATAACATGGTTAGATACCAATAGAAAGGTCTTGAAAAGATATTTTCAATAATTTTTGTAGCATCTCATTTGATTTTGTGGTTAGGAAGATACAAATTTTTGAAATTGACTAGAAATCTAGTTTTCAACAGTTCTGACGATCTAAATTTGGGTCACTAAAACTTTATATTTCATTAATAACATTTTGGAGCATTTCTTTGAGGACTTTTGTAGTACAAAATGAGATGTTTAATTTGACATCAAAGCTTCAATTAGAGACTTCTTCTGTTAAGAGAACTAAACCCTTAAAATAGGTTTATTAATATTAAAAATTCAGAAATTTGGATATTTTTGTAATGATTTCTACATTTTTGGCTTCTGAAATTTGAAAATTTTTTATTCTTTTTAATTGAAACAAATGCTAGTGTTATAATATGATATGAATACTTCAATTTGATTTTGATTTTATGACTGGAAATAATTCGGATTAAGAGTTATAGGTGATCGAAATAAGCCAAATGGTCATGAAAATCTGAAATTTCAAAATTTATAAAAATTTATTTTAAAAAAAATTATTCTTGACTTATATTCGACCTATTTTGATAGAAACTTTAGAAAATTAAGTAATTTAAATTTTAGTGAATTTTTGTATAATAAATATTTATCTGATAGTTATTTTCGAATTGGCATATTTTGAAAAATTTTATTAAAAATCTTCAAAATTAATTTTTGATTTGTATTTGAAGTAGTTTCACCTAACCTCATATTGTTACTGATTTTATACTATAATCTATGAGTTTTTAAATTCTGAATGTTTTATGTATTTATAAATTATTAAAAGAATTAAATTGATTTTCGAGTAGCAAAAGATGTGTTACACCCTAAATGCTTTAGAATGATCAGCAAAGAGTTATGATTCATTTGATAAGTTAACAATGTTGGTTTTTAATTCTGAGTACCTTGAATTAATAGGCTTTAAGGAGGATTCTAATTCTTTGTCTTTAGGTTTGGTTTAGCTAATCAGGTAACCAAGTGTTATGACATCCCCAATTGCTGCCTTCAAGCCTTAAAAAAAAAAAGTTATTTAAGTGGGGTGAATTCAACTAAAATTTCTTGTCAACATCTGTAAAAGGGATAGAAAATCCAATTTTAAATTCCATATAACATCAATAACAAGCTTACAATTTCATTAGCATGAAAGAAAATTTATTCTAGGATGAATAAACAACGTCTGCAACAACTAGAGTTCATTATCAACCAGGAACAAGCACTGGTGAACAAAACAGAAGAGAACAAGCATTTGGATGGCTAAGAACAACAGCCAAGCAACATACTAGACCAAAAACAGGGCATCCCCTCTAACAAACAACTTGAAAACATGATACAAACCCTAGAAGAGAAGACAGGGCGCTAGACAAAACAAAACACAGCCAAGAAAAGAAAATCAGACTGAACATTAAAGGAACAACAAAAAAGAACACAAGCCATTCTATCCATCAGCAACAGATGAGGGCTTCTTGCTAATTTACAAATTCCTTCGTCTTCTGAGATATCTCTTCAATTTGTAACCTGCTTCTTCAACCATCCTCACAAGCCATTTGGGTCTTCCAAGTGTGAACATGATACATGCTCCAGATATTCCCAACACTAATCCACTTCCATAACCCATGAATGTCGCTTTCCACTCAAATCTAGATTCAAAATCTGCTTTCCACTCAAATCCAGATTCAAAATCTGCTTCATCATGAAAAAAGGATGCCTCAGTGTCGTCACATCTCTTTGACAATGGAAACCCACACAATTCCAAGTTTCCAGCATAGGAACCATTTCCAAAGGTATTGAATTGCTTTCCCTCAGGTATAGGTCCAATGAGCTGATTTTGTGAAAGGTTTAACACTTCAAGAGAACCCAAACTAGTCAACTGCTCTGGAATCTTCCCAACAAGCTTATTTGAAGAGAGATCCAGTGACTCAAGTGCTGTCAAATTCCCCATTGATGTGGGGATACAACCATTAAGGTTATTATGAGAAAGGTTAAGCTGTTTAAGTGAGTCAAGCTTTCCAATAACCTCTGGAATTTCACCTTGCAACTCATTATTTGAGAGATCAATGACCGTTAACTTGATGAAAATTTTCACCAATTCAATCTCTACTCCTTTTATTGTAATGTCAATAGAATAGCTATAGCCACCAGATCCATCCTCGCCAATGTAAGATATTGCACTTTCATCTTCTGCGGGATTTATCATAGCCTTGAAATTTTTTATATATTTAGTAGGAAGTGGACCAGTAAAGGAATTATTTGAGAGGTCGAATATTTGGATTTTGGAGAAAGAATGACCGGACCTAGCACCATGAATGGAACCGTGGAATCTGTTCGATCGCAATACAAGAACTTGTAGCTGTGCAAGACTTCCCAACCAATGAGGGAATGTATCATTGATCTGGTTGTTACCAAGATCCAGCACTTCCAAATATGTACAATTAATGATGGTTCGTGTTAAAGGCCCTTCTATTTGATTGCCATGTAAGTTGAGATAACTCAGATGACATCCCTTCATAAAAGTTGGAGGAATGGTTCCACCAAATTTGTTCATCTCCAATTTCAACACTGAGAGGCTTCTGCTCAAATTTCCAAAACATTGTGGAATTATTCCACTCAACTTATTGTGAGACAAGTCAAGAATTTCAAGAGAATTTGCATTGCATATCAGAGAAGGGATCTCTCCACTCAAACTATTATTTGAGATCAAAAAGTATCTTGTTGTTGAAGGTGGAATTGGAAGATTTCCTTGAATCAAATTGGAGCTAAGGTCGAGATATTCAATTCCCTCCCATGTAAGTTTCCATGGCTCAAAATCTATCAACGAGTTGTGAGATAGGTTCAAGCCCCTCAAAGAGTCCTTCCCCACGTCCCACATCCACTGAGGAATCTTGCCAGAAATTTTATTGTTGGAAAGGTGCAAATATTCCAAACTTTTTGAACCTTTTAAAAATTGGGGAAATTCACTGACATTGCAAGAAGACAAGTCCAAATACCGAAGCTTAGGAAACACATAATCAGCACTAGTACCAGTAGCGTTTAAGGATAGATTGTTATATGAAAGATCAAGGTCTAGGAGATTTTGGAGTTTTGAGAACATGTTAACCTGTACAATACCACTTAGATGTGAAAAGTCAGCTCCAGTAAGATTCACAAGTTGGGATATTGAAGATGGAAGAGGACCTTTGAGTTTATTATTCCCTAAGGAGATCTCTTCTAGTGATTTGCACTGGAATTCCTTGATATCACCACTAAGCTTGTTGTAGCCGAGATATATTTTCTTCAGTGTGCAAACTGTATACAAGCATGAGGGAAGTGTTCCATTGAGTAAATTAGAAGATAGGTCTAGAGAGATTAGATTAGGAAAGGCATCAGGAATGGAACCCTCTAGTTGATTATTACTAATGTCTAAGAATTCAAGTTGTCTCAGGTTTGTAACTGAGGATGGAATTTGTCCGCTAAAATAGTTGGAAAACAAATCTAAAATATTGAGTTGTGAGAGGTTTCCCAATGATATCGGAATTGATCCTGATAAGTTGGATGACCGAAGATTTAAATACTCCAAGGACACTAGATTCCCGATTGAGTTGGGCAATCCTCCTGAGAAAGATGACTCTGATGCATCCAAATGCTCCAAAGATGATAAATTCGTGATAGACTCAGGCAACCCTCTAGGAAAAGAAGTCCTTAATAAACACAAATATTTCAAAGATTGCCAATTGCCGATCGAATCTATCGATTCTGTAGAGAAGGACATGTCTGACAGATCTAAAAGTTGAAGATTGCTGGTCCGGTTCAGCTTTGGCAAATAGAGAGCCAGGTTTTGGTTCCCTCCTAAATAGAGGGACTTGAGGTTACGCAGGTGAAAAATGTTTTCTGGGAATTTTCCTTGCAAATCACAACCCTTAAGATTAAGGGCCCTTAAAGATGAGGATAGATTCGTCAAGGCATTAGGATTAATGGAAGACATATTCATACCACCAAGAGAAAGTTGTCTCACCTCTGTTAGGTTCTCAACGAGTCCTTCCAGAGTATGCCTGTCAAGTGGTAGATAAAAATTCCAAGAGAGATCAAGTGAAACCAATTTCGACAAGTGAGAGACTTGGGATGGGACTCGTCCTGCAAAGAATGATAGAGAGAGGTTGAGATACGCTAGACTTGCAAACCCACCAAACTTAGGTGACATCTTGGAAGAGTTAAAATCGTTGCAGGCTAGGTTGAGTTTCTGCAGGTGTGGAAGATGGAAGAGACTACTATTTGAAGGGATGCTGCCATGTAGCCAACTGCAACTCAAGTCAAGACCAATCACTTGACCTTTGATGCTATCACAAGTGACCCCATCCCATGAGCAGCAATCTGAACCCTCCTTCCATGAATTTGTCTTGGGATAAGATTCAGCGGCATAGCAATACCAAGATGAATCTTTACTGATGGAAAAAGAGGTCTTGAACTGGATCAATGCAGCAGCTTCTTCAGGAGAGCACAATGGTGTTATTGAAGAAGAACAAGATAAAAGATTAGCTTGAAAATTCAACAGGAAGAAAAGAAAGTAGAGGAGTGGAAAGGATTTGATGAGAAAGCAGCACATCTTTGTTAAGAAGAGAAATGGAATATAATAATGGTCGGATACGATTGATATGAGTGGTGAGAAGGCATAGATGAGTATTTATAGACTTCCCAGTCGAAACAATGTGAAAGCATTGGTGCCAAGTTGCAAATAGTGTGCGGTTTATAACTTACTGGTTTTGTTCATATACAGATTCATTCAGAGGTATAAAGAATTATTTTTATGTCCATTCCCAAAAAGACGTGTCAGTGTAAGTGGAAAATATGGATCCAATCATTCTCTGCCTGAATAATGATAGTATGGAGTACACCAGGCCCGGAAATCAATCTTTCACCGTATTGACTAGGCTAGTAGAATGTATGGAAGAAGAAAGAAGACTGAATGATAGTATAAAAGCAACAAAGACAGTGTAACTCAAAACTGTCCCATGATCTCTTGTCTCCTCTACAGAGTTTTCTACTGATTAAAAATTAAAACCATTAAGCCAGCATTCCCTTCCCCTGTAGGCAATCTGTTCGATCCTGCCTTCTTTGGTGCCCAACAAGGAGATTGAGAGTTGATCCCCCACAAAGAAAGTCCATGGAAGAACAAACGCAAGATTAGTTTTGATAACAACCATCTAATGTTATTTAATGCCAACCCCACTATTTTCTTTAAGCAAATCCATCTATGAATGAATCACCATTTCCTTCGGACTCTGAAGATGGTGTTTCTGGTGCCTCATCACTGCCACTTTTCTTTCACAATGGCAGACCACACAAACCCAAGTTTACGTTATATGAATTAAATTAACTTTGTTTAATGACTCGTTTTTCTCATTAAAAGTAAAAAAAAAAAAAAAAGTTTATGGCTCAAAAGTGCACTCACTGAAACATTTGTGAATACTTTCAAATGTCTATATAAGTAAATATTTTCAAAAAGTTTCCTCTCTTTCTCTCTTTTACTCTTCTTTTTATAATCAAAACACGTATTAATTTTGACTTTGTTTATTCATTTTTTTTGTTCGTAATTTTTTTTAATTTAAAAGAGAAAAGAAAGAAATAAAGAGATTAATAATTCAAAAGTGCATCGCTGATAGAATTTCCTTCAACAGAGCCATATTGCATCATGTTTATACCATTGCAGAACCCCAACTTCACGTCTATGCATTCAAGACAAATTCGTGTACCAAGTCTCTCTAACTTTTTCCTGTTAAAAGAAGTCTGCTGCTTCAAAGTCATATCAAGACTTTTCTTCTGATTCATTAATTAGATAATCTAGCTCATTAGGCTCAGTGATTTGCTTTTTCATAGAGAGATTCTATTAGAGAAAGGATGAGATGATCAAAGAGACCAAGACCACATGTCAAAACGTGAGATGGTAATAACCTTCCGAGGTCTGTCCTCATGTTCATTCCAATTTTCATTTGTTTGTTATATATTATTTAAAGTCATTGTAAAAATTACAAAATTATTTCTAAAAAATTACTCAAGATCTTAAAGAAATCGAGCACACTCATAAGAACACATGAATTTATATAATTCATAGCAACAAAGAAAGATCCATGAGATTACAAAAATAGTCTTATTAAACAAAATTAATGAGAAACACCTGAATGCTACTTAGCTGTAAATCAGACTTGTCATATCATTCTCTAAAATTGTAGCAAACTGCCTTTCAAAAAAAAAAATTGTGGTAAACTATGTAATCTATCTAGCTGATGAATGAGGAAGATTCTAGAAGAGCAGCAATTCTGACCATGGTTATAGCATAAAAGAATATAAGAATAGGATAATCTCACATGATTACATCTGCAGACTAAAGAAGATAGAGACAAATATATATATAAATAAAGACTCAAGTTTTGCTTTCTATCCCATTATGCTTTTGAATAAACCAAATCGTTTGGAGATACCACTTCATGCTGATTCACACATCGATCTTTCCATGTATCAATTTATTATTGGCATCATTTGCTTTCACATAAGTAAAGAAGGGCCGTGTATCACTCTTTGCCATTCTTGCATGAAAAAGTCTATGTGGCCTATGTATTGCACGAACCCCACCTTCCACTGCGTTCAACACAAATTATTTTATCAAGTCCCTGCATTGGAGATAAAGATGTTTGGGCCCTTTATCTTCCACTAAGGATTTGAATAAGAGAATTAGTAACAATAATAATAAAAAAAAGACAGAGAGACAGAGAGAATTCCAAAGAAAGGAAGTCTTTGCTGGAACTTTTATCTGCAGATTCGTCAATTATTCAGAGGGATTTGTAGAAAAGTTTCACAATAATTGGCTAACAATCAATTAACCAAGTAAATGCCTTTGTTTGAGATTAGGGTAATATTTCTTAAACAAAGTGTGAACTTCATTGATGAAGATGCATGTGCAGTGCATACATCTGAAATTTTCTCTAGTTTAACACTTTGAATCAAACAATTGGTTTTATAAATTAATATATCCGTTATATAAAAGAATTCTTATTCGTATACAAAATGTAGTAAATGTTCTAGGCATGCAAGTAAATTCCTATGGGCTTCGGCCTGAGGTTAAAACTCCTCAAAGGAAGCTTCCTGATGTTTTTTTCTAGTTTCAACCGGCCTATAAACATGAAACCAATTTTGTATTAGTTAGAATTTCCTTCAACAAAGCCAATTTTGCATTATCAATGGCTGTTGCATAGCAATAGAATGAGAAATAGACATTCATCTTTGGAGATCTGTCTTCATGTTCACACTTACTTTCATTTGTTTATTATTTCTGCTATTTTTTACTATCTAAAGTTTGATTCTCCATATATAGCACATCCATTCCAACTTTCAAGTTTTTTTAACAATTTGTAGACCAATTTGGTCCAAAAGCAAATACTAATTATATATGTAGTACCAATTAAAGGAATGATGGTTGATAAGGATGTCCAATACCTAATATTTAGGCAATTTCTCTTGATGAAAAGCAAAAGGCTTTCCAAGTCTTCCAATCAAAATTTGAAATGAAGAAACTTTGAATCAGAGCAAGCAATTTCCTTCCTTGGCTAGTACTTGAGCAAATGATTGATACCTTTGGATCCACATTAATGGAAAACACATCAATGGTACTTATTACTATTTTAGTTTTTTACTGTCTGCTACTTTGCTGTAAGTTAATTTTGTCATATCATTCTCTAAAATTGTTGCATACCATAATATCTATTTAGCTCATGATGCAACAGAGTAGCTTTCAACTCCATTTTGTTCAATTTCTAATGAAATATAGGGTAATCTCACATGATTACAGCTCCAGATTAAAGAGGATAGAGACAAATATATATAAACAAAGACTCAGTTTTTTCCACTTTTATTTTTTTTCATT